TTTAGGTCTGTAAATTTCATAATTATCGTATATTGTGTCGCTGACAATAATTATTAGTACGAGATGTAAGAACAAATGCGCGCGTCCAGAGAAAATGAATCAATTCTAGTCATACTGATTTTGTTCGAATTAGTTTTTATCGGCGTAGCCCTGCACTTTGTGCATTATGAAATAGATGCTATATAACATAAACTACGACGGTCAAATTCGAAGTTCCGACGTCTTGCCTTGCTATATCCTTATACATGGCTACGCTTAATTTCATCACTAATTTGAAAAATCTTGCATACAACATTCTTAAAACTTTCGAAGATAGTCTTGTCGATAATATAGAGATTCCAGAGTTAGACGAGTGTTCAAAATGTAGTAATAAAATTGTTTTACAACCCATAAAAGCAGTCACAATCTTATCGTGTGGTCATATTTTTCATCGTATCTGTATTGAAAAAGAACTATTACTTTCGCGAAAAGAATCATGTCCTTATCCCAACTGTAATAATTTCGTTGACATTCTTGAGGAATTTTCTAGGCAAGATTCTGGATTGAGTACGTCGTCAATAATTGGTAGAATGGAGAAAAATCTCACAATAGCATCTCAAGGGAATCCGGACGAAGATATGGTGGATGTGAACGATTCACGAAGTGAGAATACCCCCATATCTGAAGCAGACGAACATAGTCGCTCAAACAATAGAAGTGCAAACTTAGGGTCTAACAAAAGATCTCTCGAAGATGTATCCAGTAAGAAAGCGAAAAAGCGAATTAAAAAAGAAGACTCACCCTCACTGAAGAGACTTATAACTGAATTGACCACTGAGACTTCCGAGACTTTTGGAGGCGCAGAGCGCTCTGCGGTGGTACCACAAAAGCAGATTTCTGAAGTATACAGTAAAAACACTACGGATTTTTTACGGCTCAATGATAATATTACTCATGCAGAATCCCGAAACGAAAGCACAAACCGGGAGGTTATTCGATGTTATTATTGCTTTGGGGATATTTTATTGCAGCGCTTAAATTATTATAAAGGTTTGGACCATAGCGATTTAGCATCCAAAACATTAGTTAACGAGGAAGTTCGAAAACAAATTGGTGATAAAATCTCCAACGACACTCTACGCAAAAGAACTGAAAAGGCGAGAAAGATATTTGCTCTTCTTAATAACGGTTTTAAAGATAAGGGGGAAAACATGATTATTCGAATTAGAACATTTACAGCATCGTCAATATCGAAATTAAGTTGGGAGGAAATTGAGTATGTATCGGCAGAAATTATTCGTTCCGCGCCATCCAACCAGGAATTTTGAATTGGTCATGTGCTTCCTGCGCCCGTGAACTCGAGTTCACAGTTAGTCATTCTTAGGCAGAATAAAACCAGAAAAAGATCGACAAAATTAACAGAATTCGGAAACGATTTAATCGTATGACCTCTCTGATTGTTACTGCGGGTATACAAAACTCACGGGATACAATACGGCAACGTGATATGCAAAGAAGCATATAAAAGAGATTTTCACTTTGTCTTCATTACCCCTTTGTCTCTGACAAAAGCATGGAGAGTGCCCGATCTATTTCGCCAAGTGTGCTGGACCCGGTAACTATAGTTGATTCGGCGCTTCAA